AATGCCTATAAAGATATCCAAATTAATAAAACCATACCAGAAAGGTTTGCAGTTGAATATATTAGAAATAATTTTCCTAATATTTGGGTAAAGTTGGCTAGGGAAGAAGTTGTCCCTTTTTCCTGAGGCTTAGATGTCTGTTCCAGAGGGGGAAAGGGTTGAACCTGAATAAATGATTGGAGACATTATTAAATAATGATTGGAATTTTTTTTTCAGTGCTGAGGATTGAACTCAGAGCCTCCCTCATACATGCTAGGCAAGTGCTATACCACTTTGAGCTACATTCACTACCCTGATTGGGATCTAAAAGAAAAGATTAGAGTGACATGAAGATTTGAAATAATTTTCCACTTACCCAGGTTTATCCAAATGTGATAGTTTGGACCAAAATATCCACTTTGGAAACCTTATCAAACACTGGTCAAGCTGAATTTGGATACGAATGATTGTCCATACTGTGACTTTTCTGTGGTAGTTGGGGGTTAGGGAAGGTGTTGTTGTACTAGTAGTTGTTGTTGTTTTGCCCAGGGCCTCTAATATGCTACAGATAGGCAGGAGCTCTATCACTGAGCTATACCCCCCAACCTCTATCAGAAGGTTTTAAGGGAACTCCTTCCACTGAGGAGAGTAATTTGTTAGTTTTCCTTCAAGCATTAACTACCTTTCTTAGCACTGAGAGTGGAAAGAGTATATGGGCAGGAAAGCAGAGCTTGGCTGGAGAAGTCAATATGGGATCTGGACTACAGCAGCCACAGCAAACAAAGGAGACATAGAGACACCCTAGAAGCCACCTTCTACACAGTGAGGACATGCCTTTAACTGAAAGCAAGGAATTATGCAGTGGGGCCAGTTCTTGTCGGTGACCTAAAGGAAAAGTGGTTAGGAGAAGTCAGTAGGGCTGAATTAGGAATTCGGGGAAAAATAGAATTTGTGACTATGCTCCTGATGCCTAGTAACCAAATAAAATCTACTACACCATGTCAAATAAGAAGTTTGGTGACTCTTTTTATTCAAAATGGCCTCCTCTCTTTTAAACAAGAATAAGTATAGTCTTACATTGAGGAAAGTGGCAGAGGATGAAAGCCAGAGAGAGACTTGGCTACAATACTTCTGTATACTCATATTTATTGAATTCCTGACACATCACACTGCACCCAAAGACATGCATGTTGAAAAGATTTCTCTCTCTACTCTTTTAATGATTGGGGGCATGATTTGGGATATAAATATACAAATTAAAATCTGTTAAAATGGTTCCAATCAGGAAAGTAGGAGGTAGGTTATTATCAAACACCAAGAGTCACTTAAGAGCCGATAACTCCAAGCATTATAAATATTTAATGGACTGATTGTGAAAACTAACAAATATACTCTGGGCATATATCAATGCAGAATACATTGGAAATATTTAATTTTTCAATTTCCATCACAGATAGAGAAACTGAGGTCCAGAGAGGGGAAGGGACTTGACCAGGCATAAATTAATTTTTTAAAAAATGACTCCAGGTTATCACAATTGTAAGTCATTCTTTGAGCTAATGGTCCTTTCTTTTACCATAATATTAATGAACCATTCTTCTTATATGAATGATTCACCAACAGTAGGGCAGATTGACCAGCAGCTTTCTTGTCTCTACTGAAACCTTCCCAGTCCAACCACAGTCAATTCATAAACTGTCTATGCTGCAGACCACTTATAATTTTGTCCTGACTCAGGAGATGTCCTGCCCCAATATGGATGGGAGAAGTGGGTATAGCTGCCTGGCACTGTCCTGTAACCTGCTGCCATGGCCAGGTGTACTGCTCCACCTAGGAACTACCCCTCTTTCCCTTCCTTCTCCATAGCCAACTGTTAAAGCTGTAGCTAAAAAAGGATGACCCCAGAGAGAAAACAGCAAAAAGTAAACCATCTGGAACACAAACATCCCAAGTCCCATCTCTTTATGAATCCTACATTTGGCAAGAATTCCTTTGGATTTGACATTAGCTTGGGTGGGGAGATTGAAGATGGGAGTCATTTCCTTCTGGAAATACATTGCCTCTTTATTCTTTGATGGTATCACCAGAGATGGTGAGTTTGTGAAAGAAGAGAAACAGAGGGGCTGGAGTTGTAGCTCAGTGGTAGAGCACTTGCCTAGCATGTGTGAGGCCCTGGGTTCAATCCCCAGCACTACATAAAACTAAATAAACAAGATAAAGCATTATGTTTATCTACAATTTTAAAATATTTAAAAAAAGAAATAAAGAACAGAAATAGAAAACCTTATCTGTTTCCTGTAAAAAGAATCCCAACTCCTCTCTAATAATTAGCCAAGGGAAATGCTGAATCTCCCTATTTCTTCTCACCCCCAGGAAAGTGGGAATGCATAAATCTAAACATATAGAGCCTTTGGCTGGACTCTCTTGGCTCTCCAATCATTTGGCAGGAGGAATCAGGACTGATGCAGGCAGCAGCTGAGATTCCCTGCCCTTTGGGCTCCTGGTTTGGGTTTAAAGGATTGGAAGGTAGTAGCGACATAAAATAGATTTAAAATTCTTAAGCATGGAAGAAGGCAAGAAACAAAGTGATACTGTGGTCTAGCATTTCTTCTCAAACTTTAATATGCCTATAAATCACTTAGGGACCTGATAATTTAAAGATTCTGATTTAGTAGGTCTGCATTTCTAACTATCTCAGAGGTAATGCTTATGCTGCTGGCCTATGGAGCAGCCAGTCTCTAAAGCATAGGAGCCTCAGAGCCCCCTGAGTAGCATAGACCATGATCCCTGGATGGGGTTTCTTTCCAGCACAGCAGCTCCTGCATTTTTTGGCATTGATAAAGAGTGCTCTCCTTTTGACCAAAGAAAGCTGGAAGGAGGTTAATTAGTGAGATCTTTCTGGTATTCTTGATCTTTGTAACAACCTGCTATAGCTGCAAGAGCATTTTTAATTAGACCAAATTATCTAGTTTGGCTGTCCATAGAAATCAAAGCTCCAGCTGAAATGTCTCTTTCATTTTGTTGGTGTAGAGACAGCTTATGTGCTGTGATTTTTAAGATGTTAAACACTGCCTGTGGGCATATTTTATGGAGAAATAAACACAGAGCCCAATGAGATGTATAGTGTGGTTTTAATATATTGTATATTCACTTATTTATGGGGAAAATAAACACACAAGCCAATAAGCTGTGTATTATTACTTTAATATATTGAATTTATTTCATACCTATATATTTTATGAGGGAAAATAAACTAATAAGATACACGATATTATTACAATAACACATCTAATTGTTCTATATTAATTTATTTATGAAAGAAATAACTGCAATTTAACATGACATAAGATTATTTAATGCACGAGATGAATTCTATATTAAGACAGTTTAAGGGATTAAATTCCAGCTGAATAAAATATGTGTACTTCCTGCACTGAGGGGCCAGTTAAAGAAATACTCCTTGGGCCTGCTTAGTCCTATATGTCACCACCTATGCTGTCTCTTGGCTTATTCTGACAGTTGCTGCCTCTTGGTGCCTGGTACTCTAAGTCCCCATCCTGCTGGTGCAGGGAAAGTCTAAGAGGCCCAGGAAATAAACTGCTTTCAAAGAACTGCAGCATCTGCCAGGGAGGTAGCCCCGCGGTGTCTGTTTCTGAGCCGGAGAAATATTAAATAAACCGAAGGACGATGAATGGCTTTCCAGGGTCCTTTAAATCTCTATGTTCGCGAGAATAAACCAGGAAGCAGATGGGGGGAGATCGATCCTTGCAGCGAGCTTACCAGCTATACCAGGAGCCAGGAAGGGCGCGGGGTGGGGGTTGGGGGTGGGGGTGTAGGAACTGGTGTTGAGAAGGCAAATGAAGTTGTTGGCCAAGACAGGTGGGTCTGCTGCATTTGGAGAAAGCTCTGGCCGGGCTTCAAATCCCAGAGCGCATGATGAAAAGTCATACTTGGCGAGGCCGAGCCAGGCCCCAAGACCCCCCACTTGCCATCCCCCTTCCCACACCCCATGCGGATTCTCCTTCCATCTCCATCTCGGGACCTCAGCATCCATTGGGCTCATTTAAAAGAAAAAAAATCCGGCTCCCAGGCTCTCTTTCCTTCCCTCCGATCTGGAACATCCCGAAGGGAGAAGGTGGGGGCGGACCGGGACTGGACCCGTCCAGCAGAGCGTCCAGCAGCGGCTGTCATGGCCGCCACAATCTCTTCCCTCGCCCTCCCGGCTGCCTGGTCCCAGCGCCATTTTGAGCGTCTTCCTTGCATTCCCATCTCCCTCCCACGCTCCTCGCTATTCCTTTCTTCCCTGAACGCCTTCCGATTGCCTGGTCCTGTTGCCCCGCAGCTCCTGGGATGCTCCTCCATTCCCAGGACCCCGGGTTGACAGCACAGACCTAGGAACATCGGTATTCGGCTGCGCCACATTTCTCATCCCGCCTCTTGTCCACTTGGAGGCCAGTTGTTACCATTTCTGGACAACGGGCCCAGCTTTTCAAGAAAACCCTTCTCCACTCCGTGGCCACCGACAGCCCCTAGGAAGTCTGGCTCCACATCCCAGGCCTTGCGTCCCCAGGCTTCTGAAGTTCCTAAAAAAGCCCCTCCATCGGCTTAGGGCATGGAAGTCTGGGAAGCCCTTGAACCCCCTCCTAATTAAGCAAAAACTCTGCTTTCCCGAGGCCTGTCCCTGAGGCTTCCTCTCCTTGCATCCTCTTCTGCTCACAGCACACCCTCTCTTTCCACCGTCCACCTTTATTTCTAAGCAGGGTCACTGGGAACTTCGTGCAGGACCTTATCGGTTTGGAGACAAGGTGACCAAGCATCTAGGAAACCCCCACTCGTCCTGGAGACGTGGGTCAAGAAATGGCCAACAAACGGAGCTACCTTTGTACCACCCGGACTTTGCCAGCCCCTGGTCTTTGTCACGGCTTGGGCCACTGAACCAGATCAATCTCATATGGGTCCTGGAGAAGTGAGAAGGGGCCCTGGGGACCGGGAAAGGACTGGGTCCCAACACAAACACTCGTTTTCATATTATAAAGACATTTTATTTAATCTATGAAAATAATGTACAATAAATACTTTCCCCTTTTCCTATTATTAAAGAATTTTAATAAATAAACTACAGTCTAAAACGTAAAAAAAAAAAGAAGAAAATAGGTCCCTCTAATTCCTTTTAAGAAACCCCCCCCCCGAGTTTAATTATTCCTGAGATTTCGTTGGAAGTAGTCTAACAAACGGAGTTTATCTGTGTGATTTTAAAAAGAGAAACAAAAAAGGAAGTAGGTTAAACACTAATTCAATAATACCTGAATTTTAGCAAAACACATAAGTAAATGCAATTGGGGTGGAGGAAGCTCGATTTTCCCAACAGACGCAGTGGAGGACGGGGGGGTGGAAAGGGTCGGGGGATGAAACGGGTTAGGGAAACTGCAGGTCGATGGCACAAAGCGTGCTCGTGAAGAAGTCCAACTCTTCCTCGGAAAAGGGCACTGGGCTGTCGAGCGAGCCCTGTAGACTGGGGGAAAGGCCTCCGGACAGCTGGAGACAAGAGTCGGCCGCAAAGAAGTTGAGCTCGGGCAGGAAAGGCGAATCTTGCCGCTCCGGAAAAGCGTCTTCTGGCAATGACTCCGGCTCCAGGCCGCCGGCTCTGCGCAGGGCGCAGTCAGGGCTCTGAGCACCCGCACCCTCCAAGTGAGCTGCCAAAGGCTCAGGGCCTGGGGGGCCCGGCGCGACTTCGGAGGGATAAAGGCAGGCTTCCCGCACCACGCGAGAAACAGAGGGGCCTCCTGGGCTGGCCGCTGGTTCCTCAGCTGGGTCTCCAATTTCCTCTAGGACACCGGGGCAGGCTGGCTCCCCGTCGGGCTGTTCTCGGTGCTGCGTCTGCCTCTTGTGTTTCATGCGCCGGTTCTGGAACCAGACTTTGACCTGCCTTTCGGTGAGGTCCAGCAAGGCCGCGATCTCCACCCGACGAGGCCGGCACAGGTACTTGTTAAAATGAAATTCCTTCTCCAGCTCCAGCAGCTGCGTGTTGGTGTAGGCGGTGCGCAGCCTGCGCGCCCCGCCGCCGCCCGCGTCGGGCAGTCCCGGGCCATCTATTGAAAAGCAGGCTGGGCGTCACAGCGGGTCTTGTCTTCATCCCAACTTCACTTCAGCAGAGATCAAGACTACCCTATCCTCCAAAAACAATATCAGGAGCCTCCCTTTCCCACCCCCACGCCCAGCAAAACGGTTTGCTCTCACTACTCTTCCGTTCTTTCCGCTCCCTCCCTCGATGGCAGACCTGGCCAGGGTTAGGGCAAAGCATTCGGAGCCGGCCGCGGGCCACAGAGAGGGCGGGGAGAGGTTCCTTTTCTCTCCCAGAATCTCAGATACCCCTTCCCAATGAATTTTCAAACTCAACCCCGGGAGAGCTTTCACAGATTGTTCTTCACCTCTTTTCCTTTCTAGCTCTCAAATTTGCCCTCCTAGGGTTGGGAGAGGGAGGAGGATCGCATCTTTTCCTGCCCCAGATTCATTCCCAACAACACTCATTCCTCTACACAGATTCCTCAATCGAATCCTTTTCTTCTACCATAGGGTTGGGGGGGCGGGAGGACTCTTCACCATCCAGTTTCCAAATCTACTGTAGGAAAAAAATAATCTGGCAGCGGCCAGGCCTGAGCCTCGCGGGACATTCTGCTTCCCCATCCCGAGAATTGACCGAGCAAGGGAACCCCAACAGG